ATCAGATCCCATAGGAGAGAAACGAGCTCGGCTCTCGGCGAACTTAGTCTGTCAAAAGAGAAAAACGCCGTGCTTCATTCCGACCAATCAGGCTCAGAGCAGAGAATGCAATAGCAGTATGCCAAGAAACAGAAGCTGGCATCAGCGACGAAATGCCGGAATTGATTTCTTGAAATGTTGCTATCAAACGCTATTTTTCGACATGCAGTTGCATAATGGCTTCAGGCGGGAGAACGTCCAAACGAGTCGATAGTCGATAATGGCACCACTTCTGACCTCTTCTTTATATGAGAAAAGTGGAAGCTTTAAGTGAAATAATCATAAGCTGTTTAAATGACGTTTTCATCCAGTCGGATTTATGAATATTCCATTGAAATCAGGCTTTGGAAACTCGAACCGAGATTTCTTTACACATTTTAAGATACAAATGTCTAGAAGAATGATATTCCGACTACAAATCCGGAAGAAAGGAGTCAAACCACCATATGCATTAGTGCAGAAAAATCTTTTCAAGTCTCCAGTCTTCAAATAGAGAATTACGATTTACAGGCAAGAATAACGAAAGATTCGGACGACTGTTGATGAGTGACATCAGTAATAAATTCGAACCGGACCCTAGTGATGAACAGACATGATAACGTGTATCTTTCCGTCATGTAAACTTTCGACAGATTCAGAACTAAATCTGCATCTAGACGATCTTTTACGAATGTACCATTGTTTGTTCGGAGTTGATAAAGATTGGCAATATCAATCGAAACTTTGGTTATAGACCCAAAATTCTATCCCTTGGGTAATAAAGGAAGACATGTTGCTCTACGCATGAATTATCCAATGGCGTAAAGTTGCCTCGGATCGCCAGTGCTCAACTTTACGGGCTGCATTTGATTCACTTCGTCGTTCAGCGATGTAAAAAATGAAATGGTACGAGATACCAGAGCACATAGTTTCCATTTTGGAAGAGGTGTACGCAGCAACCATGTCTGCTTCAAAAGTCGAAGAATAGTTCTGAGTGTTTCTCTATTTACTGTAGAGTTTGCCAGGAAGAAATGCTTTCGGATTTTCTATTCAATATTGTTCTCGGAAACAGTGCTGACCCTGGCAAAGACGAAGGTTTCATTCTAGAGAAAAGGCATTGTTCAAGATATTCAACTACATATTTTGCTAACCTGGAGTACGCAGATGATATCGTGAGTAATACGGGGAACTGGCTTCTATAATCTAACAAATTCCGTGTGCGAAACAGCTGCGAAAGCCGGCCCCTTCCTTAACACCCCGAAGTCAAAAGTTATGAGGAATCCGCCCAATAACAGGCAATTTACAAGTGCTATCAGAGGGGTGAAGCAATTCAGGAGGTTGAAATTCGAGCATTTTGGCGCCATCACCTCCAAAGATGGCACAACCAGCCAGAGTTAAATAGGAGGAATACCCCAGCTTCAAGTACCTTTGGAAAGCTGTCTAATATTTGGAAGAAAAAGGAGTTACTCTTCCAATGAGTTACTCCTCCGTCGGTGCCTTGTCTCTGCCAAGTAAATTTTGTTCTATGGCATGGAGACAGACAACGACGCGAAGGATGTTAATTTTCTGATATCGCTCATCAGGCATTATTCAGATCTTTCGTTTTTTATCTTCTGTTAAATGGGGGAAGCCGCATGGAAACGATTTCGGTATTCCTTCATTTAAAATTAATACGAACAGTGGCTTCCAATCTTCCAATCAAGTGTGATTTTAGTCACAAGGTTCTTCGTCTAGCCACATTTGCCTTAAAGGCTTAAAAGGATCCGTGAACTCTCAACAACCTTTGCTTCTTTAGGCAGTTTATGGAGAGCTCTTACTGAGGGCTTTCTTCCTTTTCTTAAGATTGCAGTGCCTTGACTCCGTTTTTTCGCCCAACTGTGCTACCATATGTTCAAAAGGTTCATCAGAAAGGAGAAATCATACCCTACCCAAGTGAAAGGTGACTAGTAATCTATCCCTGACCTCCATGAAGAAAATGAACGCAAGGAAAGCCTTTTTACGAAAAATAAAACGTGGTGGCTGCTGGAAAATATTTTCGAAATCCGCTAAGAGCAACAACCTCAAATGAAACTCGCTTTACATGTAGCACTCGTAAAAATTAAATTACGCGAGCGTCAGCTTCAATTTCGTTTATGTTCATTGGGTGCCGAGAGAAGAATAGCTATAGAAAAATAATCTTGTTCAAATACAAAAAAGGGTATGTAAATCGCACTAACACGCAGAGGTAGGAGCAAACCCCGTCAATGGTCATGAATAGATGTAAAAACGGGGTTCACTAACTTGCGCAATATTAGTACATCGGCAGACGCCGACTATTTTCAGTTTCCTGAGGAGATGAGATGATCTGCAGAGGTTCCAGCTGCTTTGTGTTCATGCCTCAATTTCTTTACGAAACTTCGCAACTCGCAACTGTGCTACGCATACTACATTCGTTTTCCGGCGGTTCTCTTAAGACAGTGCCTATCGAAGCTACATAGGAGTCATTCGCTTTTCCAGATTCCAGCACGATATGTTCATAACGCTTACCCGATATTCGCTCCTCAGTGTTTGGTCCCCTCTTGATATTCCTCTGCTGTGATGCTTTCTACAGTTCTACATATACAAAATTATACTTTTCCTATAATCTCTTATATACTTGCATTATGCTGTCGTTTTCAACATATTTTTTATATGCAGAACAGAGATATGTAAATTTATGAATTACATCACAACAGTTGTAAAGTACTTAGCATACTTTAGTGCAAACGTCAGGCTGTACATAGAAAGGACTTCTTTTCTGGACAGAGCACAACACATTCATCCAATAGATAAATTCAAAGAATCTAAGATCTAGTTTTATCAATCACATTTGATACGTAAACTTCGCTACGTATATTTGCGCGAAAACATTGCGAAGAAATTCGTCCACACACTGGTATTAAAATTATGATACCACAAACGATATTGAACATCGTTGCTTCTTGTTGGGATGCCATGAATCTCAGCACGGCTAAGAACTTCTGCTGTAAGGTTAGTTCAATTGCACGCGTGTCGAAGATAGCATAGGTGATGGAAAAGCAACATAACTGACTCTGAGTAGTAGAAAGCTGCTGCCCAGACAGATCACTCGTGAAACATTCTATTGTTCAATCAGATTCTCGCTAGTATACAAGTACCTGAAGAGAAGGAGTGAGCAGAAATCGAATAAAATGTGAGTATGACGATGAGAAAGAAGCTACTTTCTTCCAACATATGGGCAATTGATTACGTCGTTTGAAATAGTCACATGTTTTATAACCATTTTGAATATAAATGCCAGACTAGTAATAACACCGAGAGCCCGGAATGTGACCTGCTTGAAACTCAACAAAAGTAGATAAAGGATGTTACCAAAGGAGGCAAAGATAAACTGTACGTAAAATGTTTCACCGATGATCTCAATAAAAATGTCATCATCCAGAACTGACACATATTTACAAAGGTAGACCCTATATTTTGGTGGCAATTAGAGAGT